ATAACTCCCCTGCTTTCTCAAGCAATATATTTATGCTCTTCCCTAGTCATCTGTCCAAGTTTCCACTTCTTGTAAGCTTCCTGTTTGTGTTTAAGCTCACCATGGATGTTCCTGATAAGCCAATCTGGTCGCCTACCATATTTGCTTTTCTTGCTGCGCATCGGGATGGTTTCTTCCTGTACCTTTAATAAGGCTTCTTTAAAATACTGCCAGCTCTCCTGGACTCCTTTCCCCTTCATGTAAGCATCCCAGAGAATCCTGCCCATCAGTTCTCTGAGGGAGTCAAAGTCTGCTCTTCTGAAGTCCAGCGTGTGTATTTTGCTACTCTCCTCCTTTGTTCCTTTGGTCAGGATCCTGAAATCTACCATCTCATGATCACTGCTTCCCAGGTTGTCACCCACCTCTACTTCCCCTACTAGTTAGTTCCTCCCTGTTTGTGAACAGCAGGTCAAGCTGCTCATGGCTCCTGGTCAGTTCCTTTAGCACTTGTACCAAGAAGTTATCCCCAACATTCTCCAAAAACTTCCTGGATTGTCTGTGTACTGCTTTATTGATCTCCCAACAGATGTCACGGTGATTAAAGTCGCTCATGAGAACCAGGGCCTGTGATCTGGAAGCTTCTCTCAGTTGTCCAAAGAAAGTATCATCTACCTCATCCACGTGATCCAGCAGTCTGTAGCAGACATCAACCACAATATCACTCCTGTTGCTTCCAATTCTAAATTTAACCCATAGACTTTCAATAGTCTTTTCTCCCTCTAAGTACTGGAGCTCTGAGCAATCATACTGCTCTCTTACATACAATGCAACTCCTCCTCTTTTCTCCCCCACTTGTTCTTCCTGAACAGTTTATACCCTGCCATGACAGTGGTCCAGTCATGCAAGTCATCCCACCAAGTCTTCGTTATTCCTTCGTCACTAAGGGTGCATCTACACAGCACCCTTAACTCTGAAGAAGCTATGCAAATTGAGCTACATCAGTTGCGTAGCTTATTTTGAAAGTGGGTGCGTCTACACAGCACTTATTTCAAATAGAGCACTCTTCCTCTGACTTCCCTTACTTCTCGTACAATGAGGGTTACAGGAGTTGGAGGAAGAAGTCCTCCATCTTGACTGTATTTTGACATTATTTTGAAATAACACTAGTTATTTCGAAATAACTAGTGTTATTTCAAAATAATGTTGCTGTGTAGACGTACACTAAGACACGGAAACTCTATTTCGGGATACTGAATGTATCCCGAAATAGTGCTGCTGTCTAGACATACTCCGGAAATGGAATCCATGATGATGATCATTCATATGACAGTAATTTGCACTATAGGAGGGCTTCTGCCCACCTAGTTTCATAACTGATTCTTTGAAATATGTTGTCCATATGGATTCTGTGACCTGCTCGCCTTCCTTGCTTCTATAGAGTCCTAATCCTGTGAAATTCTGTACCAGTGAAGGAACTGAGAAATGGTTGGGGCTGCTCTACTGTTCACATCCTGGGGGACCGGTGTGCAAGCACTTTAGGGTATGTCTAAACAACAATATAAGCCTGGCGTTAGTGGGTATCAAGGTGGTTCACCTATGTCAGGGAGCTGCGGGCATGCAGATTTTAACACTTGAACTCGAGCCTAGTACTCTGTTTTCCACACTGCACTACAGAGACCCATTTCAAAGTAACGCTGTCCCAGAATTCTTAGTCTTCTTCCATGCTCCTGTCTTTTGCTGACACTCAAGCCTTATGTATGTGGTGCACTGCGGGAACACTCTACTGCCCATCTAATTTCATAACTGTGAAGCTAGTACCGATTGGGCTTTGGTGCTCCCAAGGAGCTCATGTAAACAAACTTCATAATTAGATCAGTTCGTGGCTGTCTCAATAGAATGACTGCAGTTTGAGAAGGCTTTATATTGAACTACCATCTAATTTGAGAATTGGGCTCTCCACCTTTAGGCTGAGTCACATTGGAAGAAAAATGTCTGTGCAGCTGTTCTGAGATAATTAGGACATCTTCTGGGCTGTCAAACTATTAAAATGAAACTTTGCAATTCTTAATTTTTACATTGGGATGTTCAATGTTTGGGGTGTGTTTGTGTGTGTTTTATTTGTCTGTTTTGAAATTTGATATAAAGTGGGGGAATGTAGCGAATGTTACACCTTGGTTCGGTGATGTGATGGGAGTCTCAAGGGTTTAAAGCTGACTACCCAGTGAAAACTACTGGATGATGGTGAAACAAATTATTTTTATTAAGTGGAATGATTTTTTTTTTAAAATCAAAACTAACAATTAGCAAATGGGTTTTTTTTAAACTAGCAATTGCTTAATACTTTTACAGCATAGAAAACCCTAAACTTAGCTGTACTTAACTAATTACAAACTTCTTTGATTACAATTCAACTATACCAAATCACTGTCTTTAATTTGCTTAACAAAAATACAAAACAAAGACAATATAATGATGATAAAAGCACCGTCCAAAGCCAGCCCCTCTATGGTTATTTTAGGGCAGCTGGTGGAGTTAGTCATAAATCTACTTTTACAACTTAACAACTCCGGGGCTTCTATTTCTAACACTTATACTTAACCTAAATACAACACTACTATACAACACAAAATTATACAATTTACACAGTGTGGTTAACAGAACTTAGATACGCTTTACAGAATTACACAGTGAAATTAACACAATCTAACTATTAATTAAACCAATAACTAATACATTTAAGCAATACTTACAAATCCAGAAACAATAACAACAGAAAGACACACTAGAACTTGGAGCATGCTCAGGACTCATGCACCCCTATATTTGATTCGAAGGGTGGGGAGGCAGCCTCAGGGTGATCAATCCTTTAGCCGGGCAAAAAAAGACACGTGCCCTCAATACACGGTACCTCCGTCGAACAAAGGGGTAGAGGGTCTTTTATACAAAAATTCGGTGTCTGATGCCATGCTAGGGTCTGCATTTGGCAGGGCCTGATAGGCTAGTGATGAGGTAGTATGACAATACTGCCCTATAGGAATTTTCGTGATGTATGCGTGATCCCCTCGTGGATAGGACCAGATGGGGCATAGTTAGTGTGAGACAACTGTGTTTTATTACCCTATGTTTACTTTTTCCCCTTGCCCCTAAGACCGGTCAAGCTACGGTCAAATGAGGCTTATCTGTAAATTCAGCTAGGCGTTATCTAGTTATGCTTACCTCCCTATTTTCTTCGTGCCTTTGAGTTCCAGGATGCCTATAAGGTCAAATTCCATTCACAAAAACTGCATTGTGCTGCCCATGCTCCTCTGAGTATCTGGGTTTTGTGTGAGGGGCCTTGTGTGGCAGGATGGGCTATACGCGAAGGCCGTGGACAGAAAAAGCCTGCTTTACAACAGCGAAAACATGTTCATACTCTAGCCTGGCTGCTGAGCAGTGAAATGAATCTCCAGGGCATTGTGTTCAGGGATAAGGGATCCCTGGGAGGCTGTGGGGAAGCATTAGGGCTGGCTTCCATTCACTGCCCTCACAGTGCACACTGCCTGGCTGCCTCTATACGTGCAGCACCAGGAAGGGGTGGGGAGGCAGGACAATGGGACACAATGTGGAGCAAGACCAAGTGATTGCCCTGTAGCAAGGGAAAGTGGCAGAGCTCCTGGCTCAGCATAGCTGGGCAATGAATGACTGCTGGCTGACTGGATGTTGGGGGTTGCCTCCCACCTCTCACTTTGCTCTCTGCTTCAAGCAAATTCAGTATTGCTGTGAAGAGGAGCTGAAGCCACTGCCTCAGAAGGCATCATGTCTGTGGAGAGGTTTTGGGACTAGCTCCCACTTGCCACCCAGACAGAGCATGCTACCTGGGCAACCCTGCACATGTAATCCTAGGAAGGGGCAGAGGAACCAATGAGCAGAGCAGGGACAGAGGAGTACTCCTGCAAAGAAGGGGGACAGCTGTGGTGTGGGAGGCCATTGTCCTCAAGATAGGAGGAGCAGCAGAGCTCCTAGCTCAGCCTATCTGCAGGACAGCTCCACTTTCAACCCTCACCCACTCTAGGGTTGCATGTTCAGAGGCACCTAAGCAGCATGAACTAAAATCTGGCTATGCTCTTGTGACCAGGAAGACGACATTTTTGCAAGAAGCTGCTGCTGATCAGTCTCAATTGAGAACCATTCAGGCTCTCTGTTGTACACTAGCCTGCAAGCACCTTGTGAGCTGCTCCTACTTGCAAAGGGAGGTGTGGCTGCAAGCAGCCATAGACTGCACCACAGATTGTTAGCATAAGAAGGATTAAGGAAATTGTCCTTGGGAAACCTGAAATATATCTGGAGAACTTCTGGAATGTGAGTAAACTTAGAGTTGTGCTCACACAGGAAAGCAATAGGGTTCTGACTCTAGGTCTGAGCTTAATAAGGGCTCAGACTCTGCAGGGTTCTGGGATCCTGAGCTCGAACCCTAGGTTACCATACTTGGTATGTAGATGCAAGCGGGATGAGGCTTGAGCCTGTGTTAGAGCTGGGGCTTTCATTGCTTTAAAGACATGCAGATGTGGTTGCTAGCTAAAAATGATCTTACGTGTGCATGAACTACAGCAGTACAATATCAGTTTTAGCTAGCAGTATCCACAGGGGCCACACCATATCTGTGAATATCCTTGCAGACACCCTTATTCCTGTATGTAAAGGGTGGAGTAGGCCAAGCTTTCTCTGTTCCTTCATTAGTACAAAATATCACAGGATTAGGGCACTTTAGAAGCAGATCTTGGAATCCATATGCACAACATATTTAAAAGAATCATAGTTATTATAATTATTTATAATTTATAAAGTATTTATATATAAAGTAATTTCTGTTTTTTAAAGTGAAATAACATTTTGACTTTTGTGTGTCAAAGTTAAGCATATGTATTCATGTTTACCAAATTGGAGCTTAGATCAGAAAATTGAAGTATTTCTTTATTTTTATGGTGTTTAATGAAACTGATTCTTAACTTAATTTTAATACAAACTTTTCTTATTTCTTTCAGACACAGTGGAATTCTGACTTGTCTAATTTTATTGTGCTGACATAGTAACAAGAGAAGAATGCCAAGTTCCAAAAGTAATTTGGTGTTGTCAAGTGACATTTCAAATGTCAGGGAAATGGCAATTTCAAATGAGAGAGAGACCACTGAAAAGAGTATAACAAGTCTGATTGAGAACAATGGCTATCAAGACTCTGTATACATAAATGCAGCTAAAATTTTTCAAGGCATTCGTAATGAAAAGCCTGAGGATAAAATATTGGTAAGGTATGGTAATGAACTAGAGCCATCCCTACCAGATTTTAAAGATGAATGTTCCCAGCGCTCGTCCTATGAACTGGCATTTAGTGCTCTGAAATGTAAGTAGAAGCTCTTTCCCCTGTCACTAGTAGAAGTGATGTAGTGCAGAAAATATACAACAGTTATATGAAGTATTTGTTATGTGTGTTCAGGGACAACACATGGAGGGGCATGAGGGATCACAGGTGTCCAAATGCCAGTGGGGACACTAGGAGGAGGGCCTTGAACCTGCAATAGGTCTCCACCCTCACCCTTGTCAACTCACAGGCCAAACAGGATTATGGATTCGCTTCACAACAGAGTCTATTAGGGATAGTTGCTTTTATTAATCTCACTACATCACTATTATTACAGGCTTAATATTGCTAGATGATTACACAGCTACTGCAATCAGCATAGGCAGAGCAATGCATAAGAGAGCAACAGGCACTTAGAAATGCTTATGTCCCTTCAGGTTTCAGGGTGTTCCGTTCCTGTCACCTTGCACCAGGCCGCAGTGGATGTTGCTTCTGCTGGGGGAATCCAGGGCACTCTCCGAGGTCTACCCTGGTGAGATTCACCGGCAGGATCCCAGGCTATGATAAGCTGTGTACAGCAGAGGTGGAAACTTCCATCGGAGCCTTCTGAGCTGTAGGCCCCACATAAGAGTCTTCTGTGACAACCCTTAACGGCAGTGATGGGGAGAAGCGAAGCAAGGTGGCCCCAGCTGCTTTGCTTTCTTGGCATGCAGCTACAGGAGAGGGGGCAGGATAACTCCCCCATGCCCTGGTTGGACCATAGCAAACTGGGGTTGCCTTGCTCTGCTTCTTCCCTTCCTCCCCCCACTCCCACTGCTGGGGCCAGACCCCTGGCCTGCCTTGGTTGGGGGGGAAGAGGCAGGGAGAGGTGGGACCTGAAAAGACGGGTTGTTTGGAGAAGGGCCAGGACATGAGGGGTGGGAGGTCTGTCAGCCGACGGTCAGAGCAGGGTGTGTGTGTGTATTACCGAGAAAAAGGTTTAACGTCCGTGTCTTTACTGCTAGGAGCGGGGTCCCGTCGCAGAAGGCAGCCAACAGGCTGACAGACGCCCTGGGTTCATAGGAAGAGCCTATTACATCTCAGATTTTAGCTGCTAGAATACAGGATCCCTTCACAGCGGGCAGTCCAAGAAAGACTGAGAGATGCCCCAACGAATCTGTCACCTGGGAGTGACACAATCCAAACACCCAAGCTCTTCCTATACCTGTCCCTTATGACCGGCTGAAGTTCTTTTAAATTGTGCTTGGTTCTGTTACAGCAACTGAAGGAGTCAGGTTAAAACTTAAACAGTTACAGGTTTATTAAACAAGCTTATAAATCATATGGTTACAATGAAACTTAGTTGTTAAATGCTACTTCTGTGTTACAGATAACACAGCCACTACAAAGGACAGGACAGAAATTACACTAATAAGTCACTTACAGTTACCATGAAACCCTTTTGGTTCTCTGAGCTCTTATTAAATGCATGCAAAATAGACACCTAGCAGGTATATATTCTCACCCCTGCATTCCAGACTTTGCGTGGCCAACGTCTTTCTCTCAATCCCTCAGGAAGAAGTAGGGCGAGGTTGGGCATCCCACAGACCTCGGGAGACAATCAATACCTGCCAGCAGGTGTAGATGATTGGAGCTCAAATGGGGTGGGCTACTAAACCCCCCTTTATACCCTTTGGGTCATGTAGGCTTCTTCCTGGTCTCAGGTGGCCAATTAGGAAAAATGGCTTTGAATGCCAAGTTTCCCATGAAGGGTGCAAAGCCTCATTCACACCTGGGAAAATGCAGACAATGGGCACCTCTGGTATGTAATGGGCGAAGATTCCTCTCCTGGGACAGTGCAGGCGTGTCAACTACTGGTACTAGCCATCAGGGCGACGGGAGGCCCCGGGTCGTCAGCTAGCCCATTTACTGTCTGGTTTCTGTTTATGGTAGAGTCAGGGACAGGCAGCACACCTGCGTTCCCAGGGCATCAAAGGCTGACTGCCTTTCTCTTGCTGTCTGGGGGGAGGAGGGACAAGATGGGGTTCATGTCTGGCTACAAGGTCACGTGGCTGAAGGGGCCCCCTGGTTTCTCCCTATCAGTCACCTGTGTGAGTGTGTTGGTATGATCACATACATTGATGGGCAAGAAGGATGGTTCAGTAGTTAAAATGCTAGCCTGTGCTTCTGTGTTTATTTTACTTAAAGATTAGTTTTAAATCAACTAGCATCCCAGGACAACTGAAATTAATGGGTAGTAGTGGACGGTGTACTGGGGAGAAAGTTGGACATCAGTATTTATGAGAGAGCCAATGTGTATATTAGATCAGCTATGCTCAAGTGCTTTGAAGGAAACATTTTTATCTGTTAAACAGTTTGAATACTGTAACAAATTCTTGTTACAAAGCAAAATAGTGTAAGTACTTTGTTTTATTTTTCATTAAGTTTTTGCTGCTGTTTCCTGTAAAGGAAAAGAAGTGCGAATTCTGTCCATATCAGCAATAAGTAAATACATTAAATTTTACTCCCTTCACAAACAGAACATGCTGTGTTAACCATTATCAACTAAATCATTCATCCAAATTAAGAGCCTGATTCTTCCCCTTCCCCATGTTATTCCTGCATAGGAACAGGAACAATGATTTTTAACTGAGAAGTTGATTTATGGGTTCTTTCCATGTGGGAGGAAGGAGTGAAGTGTGGCTCATGAGGAGTAGCATGAAATTCGACCTCCCAACACATGGGGAGCTGGGATGGAGTGAGGGCTGAATGGAGACCAAGACCACAAAGAACCTTTGTGTCCACACTGCCTTCTCATACCTAAGGATGTTAAGGACTTGTCAACTGTCCAATAAGCAAATGCTTATCAGATAGTTGAGTCAACTACTCACTTCTCCCCACCCCCTTGTTGCCTCTATCAGATAGAGGCAGCAAAGGGCGAAAGAGGGGGTACTTCAAAGCGGCAGTGCCGTGTGGAGCCCAGGGTACAGCATTTCAAAGGGGCAGTGCCACGTGGAGCCCAGGGTCAGCGGGACTTCCCGCTGGCCGCACGCAGAGTTCCAACTTTGAAATGCACAAGAGCCCCCACTGGGGCTCTTGTACATTTCAGAGGAGGAATGTGGGAGTGACTGTTGAGTAGTTGATGGAAATTCCATCGACTACTCAACTAGTAAATTCATCGATATTTAACATCCTTACTTGTATCTAGCCCTATGAGAACACAGCCGGCTACTAAATGCCAAACTTTACCAAATAGTATGGTAAGGTACAGTTCTTCTCTTGATGACAGAGTCATCTCAGGTTGATTGGCTAGCACTGTGAATAACTGTTCTAGACTAGTGCCATGTAGGTCATCAGCAAGACTCAGGGAGAGACATCTTGCTGAGCAATAGCTTCCCTTGCTTTCTTAGAAAAAGACACTAACTTAAAATATTATTTTGAAATACATTATATCAAGTTAGTCTTCATTAAAAAATAGAAGCTTAAAATAGATGTGAAATGTTTTGTTAGGGGAATCTTCCAGAATTACCCTATCAGGAAGAGGGTGAAGAGGATAAGGATGGACAGTCTTTTAAGAGTAAATTAAAGCTGCATCCTCACCAAAATGGAGTTTGAGTATTCATATTGTTTGGCCATTTGTAAATCATGTCACCTAGCTTTGTTCAATGTTTGCAGGCTTGTAGCAGCATCTTCTCACTTTATATTTGACACTTCTGCTGTGTCCTCTGGTGGTACTTGCCCATGTAATTTCACTCCTTTTTGTGACTGAAGAATGACAGAAGTCCCAGTTGTATAGTGGAATACTATTTCAAGCAAATCATTTGCCTGGATAGCCTGTTATTCCGCCTGCAGAGCAGCTTTCCAGTGCTTGACAGTCTGTGTTGTTTTCTTCCACAGTCCGTCTAACTGGGACTTCTGTCTTTCTTTACCTGTGGATAAAGAGACCTAACACATTTAATTAATGCCTGGCAATAATTAAGCATGGTATCATCCATTAAATGAATGTCCATCTGGGCAAGGGCCAGTGGGGATGCTGCCAGTAGTCGCATTGGGTGCCCTGTCAGGATTTCACGAGGGCTGAGTCCAGTCTTCTGATTGTTTGGGCAGGGAGATAACTGTTAGTCGTTGATTTATGTAATGGGAAAGTATATATACTGGCCTTTTAATTGCTTGTATTTGAAGATCTGTCGTAAGGAAGGGGGGCTGCCACTTGTCTTCCCTTGCAACTGCTCGAAATAAACTGCCTCTGACTTGTTGCTTACCAAAACGCAGAGTGAGGACTTGTTTTCTTCCACAAGACTCCAAGAGAGAAAGAAACATTTCAAAAATTGAGAAGCAAAGAGGGCGAGAGGGCGGAATAACAGTTGCTCAACTGGCAAACATGGCATTTCTCTTTAGAAACTTTAGAGGCTGGGACATCTGTCAGGGATGGTGTAGACGGAGCTTGGTCCTGCCTTGAGGGCGGGGGGCTGGACTCGATGACCTCTCGAGGTCCCTTCCAGTCCTATTATTCTATGATTCTATGATTCTATGAAATGCCATGCTGGCTTGTCTCTCGGCACCAGAAGTTGGTCCAGTAAGATATTACCTCACCCATCTTGTCATGCTTGTCCACACTGTCCTTGAAGTGGCCAAAAGGCAGTTGTTCAAAGAATTATGTGTTGTGTCTGTATTTACTCTAGAATAGTGTTTCACAATTTTATTTGGCCATGGAACCCTTTTAAACTCGGAAGAATTTCGAGAAACCCCTAGGGAAAATTTGTCGAACCAAAAAATAAAAGGGGTGGTGGGGGGTCAGGACCTGAGCACCACAACATAATAATGAACAAATGCTAAATAAGGTCATGAGATCAACATTTAGTTTAATTGCACATATTTAAAAACAAAAATCACATTTAATGTGTACAAAAAACTAAAGCTCAAAAACTAATATGAATTATATTGGCAGTTTTCAATGTGAAGAGTGGTTTTTCTTCTTTTCTTGGCAAATTCTTTTTATATTTTGTTTAATACTAAAAAGTTGGATTTGCATATCTGGCGCTGCATTCAGCTGATTTCTGTATTTTGTTTTTGTTGCTGAATAATTCGAGAACCCAGTTTCACACAAGTATGTGCTGGTGAAGGTTAACAACTGACGAATTGCACATCTTGATAAAGCTGAATATTCTTGACATAAGCCACACAAACGTAATCAGAGAAACTTCTTTAAATTTTTGTATTAATTGGCCATATGAAGTGATTTCAATTAGGTTTTCATAATCTTGCATAGAAAAACTGACTGGCTTTCCTGTTATACTTAAGGGATTTCAAATCCAGTTATTGTTTTCATTTATGGTTGGAAAATATTTCATGATGTTTGTGTATAAATCACAAAGATGATCTGCAAAGACCTGGCCAGGAAGAAGAGTACAGAAGAAAGCTTGGGGCAGAGTTGTCTGGCCAGGAGGGTCTTGGGGCAGGGTGCCTGGCCAGAAGGGAGGGTATAGGAGGGGACTTGGGCAGGGTGTCTGGTCTGGAGGGAGGGGACTTGGGGCAGGGTGTCAGAGCAAACTG